CGGACAGTGCATGTTCACCGAAGCGTGCTTTATAGTTAACCTCAGGGGCCTCAGAACAACGGCGATGGCCTCGGAACCCACGTCCGAGGTTAAGAAAATATACCCTGATTTAATTAAGCTGATCCCACTGCTAAAATATGGTGCCACGTATCGCTTCCATCTATGACCCGTAACAGATGTTAAAATGAAAGAGGCGATAAATGATGGTAAATTTTTAACAAAGGAATATGATAGAGAAAAAGATCAATTATCCTTTAATAATCAGCAATTAAGATTACATTCTTATATATATACAAATTAATATTATATTGTTTTCAAATAAATAATCTTTGAATCGTGACATGAATTATGAAGTCTCAAACTTTGATATTTCTAAAAATCTAATCATCAATTACTTGTCTCTGTTTGAGCATCATATTTTAAAAACTCATTTTTTTCAAATTCATTTTTAATCATACGTTGTCTCACTAATATAATTTTATATGTAAATTCAAAATTTTTCTTTACTTTATAAAATCAAGTTCTTCAAAAATCACTATTACAAATTTTATTTTCTTAGGCTCAAACAAATACTTAATATTACAATTTTCTTAAGTGAAAATTATACCAACACATGATTTTTAACTTTTCAATTCAAAAATCAGATTAAAAGTTTTTTTTATTCAAAAATCAGGTGATAATTAAACTTTTAAATATTAATAATAATATGATAAAATTAAATTAATCTATCATTTCACTCTCAAACCTTAAATTATTCAACCCTCTTCTCTTCTCTCTCTTTATCATACATGGAAGATCACCGTCAAAAACCATCGGCAAGCGTCGCGTGTGAATGTCGCAGCGCAACGTCTCACCACTGTGCAGGGGGTGATGATTTTTGGGTTTATTTCTTCCTCCTTCAATCTGTTGTTAAGCGCAACATAAAAATGTGAGATTGCGAATAAATCTGTAATCACTGCTTACAATTTGTTAAGTTGTGATTTATAAAATTTATGATTTTAGATCAACTAATAATACGTGACCTATTAATTTGATAATTTGTGATCGATAAATAAATTGTGATTTATAAAATTTGTGGTTTATGACATAAAAATAATGTGTAATCAATTAATTTGATAATTTGTGATTGATAAATAAGTTGTAACCTATAAAATTTTTGGATAATTAAATAGATTAATAATTGTATAATATTGTGACTTTAATATATTTAATTAATAAAAAAATATTTTATTAATCTATTTAATTATCACCTATTTTAAAATTTTAAAACAAATTCCTTAATTTTGAATTTTTATATTTCAAACACCTTTATTGTTCCATTTCCTCAAGTCGCTGTTTAGGGCTGTCCAAAAGTCTCGAACCGAACCGGACCGAACCGAACCGAGCAGTTCTTCATAAATTTAATACCGGAACGGGTACCCGAATCGAGAACCGATGGGTTTGGGTCGGGTCTCGGGTCTAGACCAAGAACCGAAGAACCGAAACTAAATAATTTTTTTATTTTTTATATTGAATTAATTAAATTATTTTATTTT